CGTTGCACTTTGGTGTTGGAGTCAGACCCTCCTAGGAGATAGGACACTAGTGTAGGGGTAGCGTTAGAGGGGTCAGGAGGACCACATGAGAGGGGGGGTGAGTTCTATTCATCTCGAAGCTCAAGGCCATTCAGGTAAGTGTTGTGCACCTACGGGATGCCCATGTATGTGTGTATGGTATTGATTGTCTTGCTGGGGTACTCTGGTTTCTTTTCCTACTCCTCTGTGGTCTTGATTGTGTGACTGAATGCATGTGATCTACCTACTCACTTGATGGATGGAAAATGAAGTATCTTGACCTAAATGTCGAGTCTGTCTACAGTGCTTTGTCTTTTCATCTTTGAACGGTGGTAGTCTGTAGGTTCTGCCAGAAGTTGAAATTTCGTTTTTCAGTACAGTAGAGACTGAACTAAGTCCATGTGGAACTCCTCTTGGTTGGGACCTGGTTGCGACCTACGTGGGACCCCAGGGACCCAGCAGGACCGGGCCCAAACAAGAAGAGCCTCTGGACCCAAATCGGTTAGGCATTGACCTCTTGTCTTCTTGGTTGGGATACGAAGTTCATTCTTCTTGGATTAGGACACCCACTGAGGGGATCTTGGTTGAGACGTTTCGCATGTCTTTTTGGATTGCACTGTCCGTGGCTTGACTCGCACCCTGTACACCACTGAATTCTCCATTGTTGCATTTAGTCCCTCGTTGTTTGGTTTGTTGTACGGTCACGGAGCTGGTCAGACTGGACTCGAGAGGACCTCGTATGCAGTTTGATCAGACTGGGTCGCTGGATCAGACCTCTCGTTTGAACTTGTTTTTTTTTTTTTTGGTTTGCTGCTCTCTACTTCCAAATGAAATGTCGCTCCGGCTAGGAGTTCTACCTTCTCTTCTCTGAGTTTTTCAGTTTGTTTCTCTGAGTTCATTACCGATGCCCGTGGAGACTCACAACCAGAAAGAAGAGAGCGAGAGGAGGGAGATAGAAAAGGGAGAGGGGTAAAGTGACCGTTTGAAGTGGGCAAGGACTGGGAAAAGGAGTGTTAGCCTCGGCCTACATGAAGAGGAAGAGGAAGGGTGGCCATGGCTATGGTGGACTTTATGTTGTGCCTGCAGTAGAAGAGAGATTCATACATTGATTCTGGTTCAACCATTCAACATTATTATTGTTATTTCTTGTTTGAATAAGAAGGGAGGAGATAAGGAGGAGGAGAGTGGTTGGCTAAGGAGAAAAGCATTGTCATTGGCCTATGCTGGAGTACATCATCTTCTTCTTCTTTCTTTCTTCTTCTTCTTCTCCTTCTTCTTCCTCTTCTTTCCCTCTCTCTCCTCTCAAGTTCATTCATTTCTTTTTGCAATTGGATGGCATTGTACTTTCTGATGAATGTATACTTTGGAATTGCCCAGGATCGTAAGATTGACATCAGAGCGACTTCTACGTGCTGACGAGAGATGACTTTGCCGCCATAACCCTAACCTAAGTGGTAAGGGCTAACCACTTAGGGTTAGGGCAGGAAGTTAGGGTTAAGTGGGGCAGCGTGGTGAAAGGGAAGCTGCTCCCACCTGACAGGGTCATGTAGGGTCGACATTAGACCCGACCAGGTTGCTAGAGTGCATGTTTGTGGTGGCGAGACACAAGGTGGAACTTCGTGATGCAATTGAAGAGAGGCGATGGTGAAGGGCACCTACAACTGGAATCTGGACTTCAGGGAAGGCAAGGAGCGACTTTAGGGCTCCCCTCAAGTTAGGCGAGCTTGAGGGTGGCAGCCATATTTGCACCTACGGACTGCAAGTTGCTCCTTTGATCTTTAACATCGACGGGGGATCCGGGGTTGTACTTTGGGGTAGATGTTGACCCTCGTAGATGATAGCACACTAGTGTAGAGGATGCTTATTGGGTCAGGAGGACTATGCGAGAGGGGGGTGAGTTTCTTTCATCTCAAGAGCCCGGCCACTCAGGTAAGTGTCATGCTGCAAGGGTGCCCATGTGTGTGTGCATGGAATTGATTGCCTGTTGGGGTATTATGGGCTCTTCTTCCATCCTCCATAGTCTTCATCTTGTGTGAAGTGTGTGAACTAGTTGCTGACCTGACGAGTGAATGAATGGAGTATCTTGTGTGGCATGCTATATCTTTCTACAGTGCTTTGTTTATTTCATTCTGAACGGTTGTACTCTGTAGGTTCTTTCTGGGGCTAAAATTCGTTTTTCAATTCGGTAGGGGCAAAGAGTAGGTCTTTGTGGAACTCTTGTTGGTTGAGACCCGACTCTCATTCCACTGGGACCATTTGGGACTCAGTGGGACCAGGCCCAAACAAGAAGGGCCCCTCAGGTGCAAATCTGTTGACGTTAGTTACATTGCTCTATCTGATTGGGACTCTGAGTTCATGCTTTCGGACGAGGACACTCGCTGCTGAGGGGATCTCGGCTGAGACGTTTTAACGGACTTTACCGCACGATCCGCCGCTTGACCCGCACCTTGGGCACCACTCAATTCTCTCTTGCATTGAGTAGGTACACTTTTAATTTGATTTGATGTGTCTTTACGGAGCCGAGTCCGGCTAGGCTTGAGAGGACCTCATACGTAGTCGGACCAGATCGCGTTGCGGAATCAGATTTCTCTAATCTTTATTTATTTTTATTTGTTTTGACTGCTCTCCAGTCCAAATGAATTGCTGCTCCGACTAGGAGTTCTACCTTTTTTTCTAATTGCTTTCAAGCTGGTTCTTTCATTTGGTTCGTTAAATGTATGTGTCTACATGATCGCAAATGAGAGAGAGAGAGAGAGAGAGAGAGAGAGAGAGAAGAGAGAAGCTTCTCAGTGTTGATCTTGAGGGTGTGAGGAGAGGGAAGAGGAGTGTTCGTCCCAGAATTGTGAGGAAGTACGAACCACTCTTGAGAGACTTATTGACGACCTCATCCTATATCATGGCATCTGCAGCAGAATGAAAGCTGCAAATGGACGCTGCCCCTGACTCAGAAAAAGCGCAGTACCGGTTCTTTTATGAAAAAACGTTAAAGAGGGAAGAGGAAGAGAAGGAGAAGGAGAAGGGAGACAAAGTAAAGGCTCATGAAGCCGTCTTCAGTACCGTGCTCGCCTTAACTGATGCTGAGGTGGAAGCGATGATTGTCCCACTTCTCAGGGCTTTAGTAGATGTATGGGTTGTTGAAGACCATACTAACCAACTCGCAAAGGTGTTTGATGAACTCAAGAAGTTGCGTGAGGATATGACCCTGATGGCGCAGCACCACTGTGACCAGTTGCAACAGTTTGCTAACATGCAGTCGGCCCAAAGTGTCCTTTCGTCTGCTTACCCTGCTTCTAATGCTGCGTGTCAGTCCGTTCTTGCCCCTTTAACTGTGTCTTCTTCTTCTTCTTCTTCTTCTTCTTCTTTGAGTGTGGTCAACAACCTATCCGGATCTACAGCAGGTCCAGACCCCGTTGTTGTTGTTGCTGCTGCTGCAGTGGCAAGTGACAGTGTAGGGCATTCTGAAACTGTTGCAGCCCCGAATTCGAACCCAGCAATTACTGGTCCTAGCTGCAACTTTCCCTAAGTGGACATGAAGGCGACACATATTCCTTCTAAATATGACGAAAAGGACGACATTGAATCTTGGATCAACTCTATGCGATCCAACTTTGATGTGCTGGGGACACCCCCGGTTACTCAGTCGTCGGTCCTAGGGACCAATGTGGAACCCGTTGTAAGAGGCTTCTTAGAAGTCCAAGCTATACAGTCAGGCTATAAAGGAGTAGACCTGAACAAATGGCTGAAGGCTACGCCTATAGCTGCACTCGAGGATCTCTTGATCAAGCAATATGTTGATCCGCATCCTACAGCCAAAGCTAGACTCAAGCTTGACAAGCTCAAGCACAACAAGTGGACAGGCACCATGCATAGTTTGCAGCAGTACGTTAGTAAACTCTTTGCTACTTCTGATCTGGAGATGACTGCATGGTCTTGCTTGGATGCGATTCCCTCTGTTGTAACACATCGCCTGGGGCTTAGACTCATAGCACGTACAAATTGGCTTTCCCTCGTGCGGAATTTAGTCAAGTTGGAGGCACAAGACCTCCCGGGTGGATTGGGTGGCAAAAATACCACTCTTGGTGACGCACAATCAAGTGGCAAAAATACCACTCCCGGGTGGATCGGGTGGCAAAAATACCACTCCCGGGCGGAATTTAGTCAAACGGTTTTTGGGCAACAACCGTTTTGCAACGCACAATCAACTTGAGGTTGATGAGGAGGCCTTCGCAGAGGACCCGTCTCTTGGTGACGATCAAGAGCAAGACTACGAGGCATCTTGCTCTTCGTCAGCCCATGAGTTCGACTATGTAGATGATGATGAATCAATGAATGTCTTTAAGAAGACTGCCTTCAAAAGTAAGGGGCCGAAGAACACAGGAAAGAACAACACTAACACCATTCACCTCCCCAAGGGAGCGAAGATTCCACCCAAACCGGAGGATCCTGCCACAAAACCATTGGTAGATCTTCGGATTAGTGAAAGTGAGTGGAAACACAAGGTGAAGAAAGGGGTTTGCCTGCATAGCACCAAACCGGGACATTCGGTTCAACATTGCTTCAGATTGCAGTAGGGAAACCATCAAAGGGGGTAGAGACATCATCAACACATTCTACAGACGAAGAGGCTGAACATGTAAGTGCAGATCCTTTCCCGAGTTCTGATCCTACTCAACAAACCTCTCTTGAAAACCCATCTAATGCCGATTCCAAGGTTGAGACATTGCACATCCTCTGTAAGGAGCCTTGGGTGAAGTTGAAAGAGATTGACTTTCATGCTCTCTTGTTGCGTTGGGCTCACATGAAGCAAGAACGCAGGCAAGGGAAAACGAAGTTGATCTTCTTCAAACTCCGCATTAACGGCTGTTACATCCGTGCGCTGACTGATTATGGTGCAACCGCCAACTACTTCTACGACGTTCGTAAGGCACGCTTGGGAATGAAGCAAGTGACTTTGCAGAATCCTTGTCGGACCCAAGTGGGCAACCAAGAGGTTGTCACATCTACGCATGTATTCAAAGGTGTGTGCACTACCTTTGACGCAGGTCGCACCATCACACATGAGTTGAACTTTTATGTCCTTGATAAGTACCCCTTCGACGCAGTTATTGGCTTGGGCAGGTTGCGGGCCCAAAGTGAAAGAACCACGTGGAAGGACTCACAATTCATGGTCAAAGATGCCATGGGGATCGAGCGTATAGTCCCAAGTGACTTTTCTCAATGCAATGAAATTATGCAAAAAGTGGCACATGCGCAAAGTTGATGAGGAAATGTATATAGCCTTTGTTAGGCCTGCGTGTGTGCCTTCTATTTTTGTTGTATATAATGATTATACTTTGCATGTCGTTTCTATTTCTAATGCAACTACTTCTACCTCTACTAAATGTACTTGTAGTCCAAACAACTCTGCTTCAAATCCTGTTGTTTTGGCTACACCTATGCAGTCCGGTATGCTTGCACCAGATTCTGATGATCCACCTCCGGAGATCCCATCAGAGATCCACAACCTTCTTAACCAATTCCCAGAAGTTTTGGCCGAACCACGTTGAGTTCTCGTGCATCCAATCCGACACAAGATCGATTTGATAGAAGGCAACACTCCTCCAAAGGGTTGTGTCTATCGAATGGGCTCAGGTGAACTGGAGAAGTTGCGAAGGCAGACCGATGACATGCTTGAAAAAGGTTGGATCAAGCCAAGCGAATTTGAATTTGGTGCACCAATTTTGTTTGTCCCTAAGAAAGGAGGCAAAATACAAATATGTATCGATTACCGCAGACTGAATAGAATAACAAGAAAGAATGCATACCCTTTGCCACACATTGATAATCTGCTTGATGCTGCAGGTGGATGCAAGGTCTTCAGCAAGATCGATCTCAAGTTTGATGATCTGCTTGATGCTGCAAGTGGATGCAAGGTCTTCAGCAAGATCGATCTCAAGTCTGGTTACCACCAGGTTGAAGTCGACCCCGCTGACCAACACAAAATTGCATTCAAAACTCGCGATGGGCTGTACGAGTTTACCATCAGGCCCTTCGGTCTCACAAATTCACCAGCCACCTTCCAGAGTCTCATGGACAAGGTGTTCCGTAGTCAAATCAATCGATTTGGCGTTGTTTATCTGGATGACATACTAATCTGCAGCAAGTCGATGAAGGAGAACATGAGACACCTTGAGGAAGTGTTGCAGATCCTCAAGGATGCGCAACTCCATCTCAACTTAGAGAAATCTGAGTTTGGGAGGGACAACGTCATCTACCTTGGACATCGGTTGTCCGCTGCAGGTCTAGAGCTCGAGGCAACCAAATTTGAGGTCATCCGCAAATGGCCTCAACCGACAAATGTCCGAGAGTTGCGTTCTTTTCTTGGTCTCGCGTCATACTACCGTACGTTTGTACCCAAATTCTCTATCATCGCCCGTCCGCTGTCCAAATTGACAAGCAAGAACGTGTCTTACACGTGGGATGGGGAATGCACAACCGCCTTCCAAGCATTGAAGGAGGCTTTGGTGAGTCATCCGGTGCTCCGTATTGCAGATCCCAAACTCACATTCGTAGTAACTACAGATGCAAGCTTGTATGGGATCGATGCAGTGCCGCAACAAGATGATTGTCACGACTTACATCCGCTTGAATATTACAACAAATGCGTACCCAGTTACAAGATAGCTGCCTCCACTTACATTCGAGAACTCGCACTATATCATTGGAAACACTACCTCTTGGGTCGCCATTTCAAAGTGTTCTCAAACCACGAGACCTTGAAATGGATCCAGACACAAATTAATCCATCAACGACATTGACCCGTTGGCTGCATGAGATTGATGTATATGAGTTTGAACTTAAGCACACGAAATGTTGTTACAATGGCGTTGCAGATGCTTTCTCTCGCCACCCTGAGTACATGACTTGCCTTGTGGGCTCCTACGACCTCCGTAATAATTTGAAGGAGGGCTAGTTGAGCATATTGCCAAGGAACCGGAACTCAGTCCAATCCTTGAGCAGATCCAAGTTGACCCTAGTAGTCAGCCTGATTTCCACGAGTGTAAAGGTTTGCTCTTCCAACGTTACGGGAAGTACGACCGACTATGTATGCCCAACCATGAGCCTATCCGTACTCACTTCTTGGACTTGGCTCATGACCGGAGCGGACACTTCGGTTTTGAGAAGACATACGGAAACCTATTGCAAAAGTTTGTATGGCCTGGGATGAAAGGAATGGCACGAAAGTTAATGGCTGAGTGTGAAGTTTGCGAACGCATCAAACCGTCTCGACAAAAGCCCTGTGGGCTGATGCATCCTCTTCCTATCTCTGATGGTCAGGGTGAGTCTCTTTCCATTGACTTCACGACCATGGGAAAAAAGAGCAGGAATGAATATTCGTAAGTAATGATGATCGTTGACCGCTTTTCGAAATTTCTAAATTTGATTTCATTGCCAACTCACGCCCCAACTAGCCTTGTGATAGAAGAGTCTAACAAGAGGTACATTCTGCAGTGTGGGCCCCCGAAGACTTTCACGAGTGACCAGGACACTAGGTTCACAAGTGCAGATTGGGAAGATTTCACCTCCGAGATCTATGACATCAAACTCAAGAAGACGTTTGGTCGACATCCCGAAGCGAATGGATTGGCGGAGGAAATCAACCAGACTGTGATTCAACTTCTCCGAGCTCTAATCGTGCTTGATCAGAACTCTTGGGATGAGGAATTGCCGATTGTGCAGGGATAGTACAACAACTCCATACACTCCTTCACCGGGATGACACCTAATCGCCTGCACGTCTGGTGGCGAATTCGCAATCCCCTATCCTATCTGTTTCCTGACCCGCCACCCGGCCTAACACCTGGCCAGCCTGGCTACAACGCTAAGTTTGATTTCTTGCTCAAGATTGTTGTTGCAGCTATGGAAAGGCGACACAGTGCCATGATTAAGCACGCCAACAAGAAGCGCCAACCTGCACCTTTCACCGTGGGAAGTTACGTTTGGGTCAAGATGTCTGAGTTTTCTGAAGAAGAGGGTGTATCACTTAAGCTTCTTCCTCAGTATTATGGTCCGTGGAAGGTACTGAACCACGTAGGGGAGGATTCATCCGGTCCCTCTTACACGATCGACGTGCCTACTCATATGCGCACGTACCCAGTCTTTCACGCGTCAAAGTTGTTTCTGTATGTACCACCTGAAACTTTTTTGTACCGAGAATCGATGATCCCTCATGCAATCAATGACGGTCATGAGATTGATAGAATTGTCGAGCACGGTGGAAAAGGGAAAAAATAGACAATACAAAGTCCATTTTCTATATCACCCATTAAATGATTTTTACTGGATTGCTAAGAAAGACTTGCTGTAAAGTGCCCCGCGAGTCGTCAACGCATATGAATGATTGATCATCTTTGAACAACAACCTAAGTTCACTGCTACCCTCACTCCTACGGAACATACCCGATCTCTCTTTGCCATTTACACTTATGATGCGTTATGCAGGGACTCTGAGTGAGTTACTCTCTCGAAGGGGCCTCGCTCTTGAGGGGGGGATAGTGTAATGACCCGCCATAACACAGACTGAGAGCACTGCTGACTTATGAGTTCTGCCGATGGAATGGATGCCTTGCTGAGATTCCCGCATTCTGCTGAGTTTTCTAGGTCTGTGTGTGTGCGTGCTTGTTGACCTGCATGCCTGTCTGAGTGCTTGTCGACATGAGTGTGAGTGTGATCCGTAAGGGTACTTGCTTGTTTGGGAGGCCCGTAGGGCCGGTACTTACCTGTGGCCGTGACATTGAGGGTTGCAGCAGGAAAAACACTCAAGTGCGGAGCCAGAGGCCCGCGACACTTAGAGCAGCAAAAAACACTCAAGTAGCAGGTAGGCCGGTACCGCACCCTGTAGGAGTAGATATGCCGGGTACTCGAGGCCGAGCAAAGTTGGCATTTTTAGAGGCCCAGTTGCAGTAGGCTAGGCTTAGGCGGGTACCAGTCCATCCAGTCTAAGTCCAGGGCCTGTACGGGCAATATCAGAGTCTGCAATGATGTTTCCCTCCGAAAGGGAGGAGGTACCAGTGGCTTGGGAGGCCGAGCGGCCTGGAAGTCACTGTCCAGGAGGCAATTAGGCCGCTATATCTTGAGGCTGAGCGAAGAGCCCAACCTCATTCTTCATTGTGCAAGTTTGGCATCACACTGCTGGGGCGCTGGTTGGAGGAGCGCTGGGTACTACAGCGCTGCTGGGAGGAAGAAGCCCGGGAGCTTCCACCTTGGCTATGGTGGAGCTCTACTGGTAGGAGGGGGAGGGAGAAGAGGACCGAGGAGGAGAGTGGCGAGGTACCTACCTGGCTATGGTGGACAACATCTTCATCACCTTGTTAGGTGCTGCATCTGGAAGGCCCCAGTCGGGGTAGTGCCGCATCAAGGAAGCTCGGGACAGAGTCAGGCATGGTGGCTGAATGGGCAACGACATAGCTGCCTTGTGTTGACCTTGGGACAGGAGGGAAGCAGTATAGCTGCTTTGGGTTGTCCTTTGGACAGGAGGGTAGAGCCCTCAGTACTCCGCCATAGCCTCGGCCTGCATGAAGAGGAAGAGGAAGGGTGGCCATGGCTATGGTGGAGCTCATGTTGTGTCTGCAGTGGAAGAGGTATCCGGACATTGATTCTGGTTCAGCCATTTAACATCATTATTGTTATTTCTTGTTTGAATAAGAGGGGAGGAGATAAGGAGGAGGAGAGTGGTTGGCTAAGGAGAAGAGCATTGCCATTGGCCTATGCTGGAGTACATCATCTTCTTCTTCTTTCTTTCTTCTTCTTCTTCTTCTTCTTCTTTCCCTCTCTCTCCTCTCAAGTTCATTCATTTCTTTTTGCAATTGGACGGCATTGTACTTTTGATGAATGTATACTTCGGAATTGGCCAGGATCGTAACAGACTGGAAAATGTAAAAGATGAAAGAGGTAACTTGCTCCACCACCCCACCACCCTACTTTTTGCAGATGATCTAACTATACTAATCAGAGCCACCAACTCCTCTTTCCAAGCGCTAACTAGAGCCATGCAAGCCTTCCAGCTAGCCTCTGAAATGAAAATCAACTGGCCAAAGACTGTAGGTTGGTGGGTCTCACCAACCCCACCACCCACGGCGAATACTCCAGAAGGTTTCCCATGGACTGACCCCACAACCCCGATCCGGTTCCAACATAAACGGATGCCGCCCCACATCGGCAGCATCACTGTTGTCAGCAATGATCAACAAAATGCATAGCTGGCAGAGATCGCATACATCCCTCCTAGGCAGGGTTCTGGCGCTTAACAACTCAATCTTCGTCATGATGTGGTATGCCACGTCCATTTGGTTCCCAACACCAGACTTTCAGCAACAAATAAGGACGGCAGCAGCCTACCTGTGGACTGGTCATCCAAACAAACAAAACTTCATCCACAAAGTGGCATGGCAAATAGTAGCGTTATCAAAAAGGAGAGGAGGCCTAGGTCTACTGGACCCAGGCCATCAATTACAAGCCCTACAAATCAAAAGGATACTAAGGCTCATTCTGCAAAGTAATCTCCAATGGGTTCCACTTGCACTCAACCACATCAGAGAAATGGCCCCATATAACTCCCCTCCCAATATGTCAGGCCAATTTTGGTTACTTAATAAACAATGGCCCATACCAAACGGCAAAAAGCCTCACAACCAACAAGCAAACCAAACAGAAGAAACAGGTAACAACCAATCCAGATCCTTCTGGGATCAACTTCTTCACGGTTGGAGAAGAATCTTCCCAGAAAACAAACTGGGCCCCAAAAGAAAGGATGAAGTACTCAGGCAACCCATATTTGGCAACCCCTGGATCAAAAACAAAAGGGGAGAAAGCCTGTCACTCACCAAAACAAATGTCAAATGGGGGCACTGTCTGGAAAAAGGGATCTGGCAAATCCAACACCTGTGGGATGATACCACCAACAACTGGAACACTGAGACTAAGTCTCAAGGGGAGAAATAACTAGCACACATCATAGAATCTATGTATACCTATGGAATGGAGGCACCTACTAAGATCAGAGCAAAAGTGGCTAGTGGGAGACTGGGCGGCACAGAAAAACAGTGAAACTACCCAAGAAGTTCTGAAAATTATCAACAGTGAAACACAACAAAGAATGGATTTGCTGCAGCATCTACCCCTTGAAAGAACCAGGAAACCCAGCGAGCTGTCTACAAGGGGAAAGTAGGGCCGATGGATCTTTTAAAATTAGCAACCTTAGGATTTCCTTGTTCTTTAGATGTTTGATACTTAAAATCTCTTTTCAATCAAAATTTTTTGTTTTTGGATCTTTTAAAATTAGCAACCTTAGGTTGCAACAACATTAAAAAATGCAGAAGCATGCTGTTGGCTATATTCATCTACGCCTGGCGTCGCCTGTGAAACGACTCTCTGTAATGGCAGCTAGCAAATCAGAGAATAATCGCAAATCCGTGGGCAATCCCGTAGTTGGTATTTTGAGGACTACTGATCAGTACTTGCCTC